AGAGAGAGAGAGAGAGGTCAGAGATAGCTGATTGTGCTGCACACACACACACAAACATGTCAATGCTTCCCCGTAATTTTTATTAATAAAATAGCCTAGATATTAGATCGCTACATTATATTCCCCAGCAACGAGGTGATAAAATCGCTGTTTCTGAAGTCATTGTTTGTAGAGAGACGCTCAGATGCAGCAAACAGGTACACACAACCGTCATCTCTCTCTCTCTCTCGATCGATAATTAATTGAAATACATGCTACAATTCATTCAAATAAATGTGGTCTTACCGCACTATTTCATCTCAGTGTATGATTTGAAGCGGGCAGAATGCTAGCGCTAACGTACCGTAACTGACGAAAATAACTGTCATTTGACCCATACGGTCAAATATTGTGCTGCAAAGAGCAATACTAGTTTTAACTTGTCTATAACTTGGCAAATGACCATGGAATAAGCGGAGGCTTCACGTCGGGCGGTTCTTTGCCTCCACGTCGTACATTTAAAATCCTTTAATGTACGGTTAGCCGTTGATTATTCCTTACTTATACAGTAAATATTAGGTTATTATAAGGTCTATAATTATTTGGAATTCACTAAATAAAATTATGGTTAATATCGATAACCAACAAATTACACGGTTATTGTCAATAACCAATAAAATGGCTGCTTTTAAAATTCTATACAATTTTGTCTATTCAATTTATTTATTTTTATTGCCGTCACAGCATCTATGGTTATTTTCATGGCAAGATCAATGTATTTTATAAGAAACAAACAGTAGTGACACAGTAGTAATAAATCAGCAACTGACAACCAACCATGTCAATATAATAACAAAGGTTTTTCATTTCAATATCAGATACATTTAAGATTATTCCTGGTGAACCGTATGTAAAACATTCTTTTGTCTATTAATAAACACCAAAAACTACAATAAATAATTTTAATGCTAAAAGTAAATTTAAGCATCACAATACTATATAATATAAAGCATTTGCTAAAGATTACATTTAACAGTGTTATTAAAGCTAATCATTTAAAAAAAAAAACACTAATTTGAGTGAATGTTAGATAAATGTACAATATTGATACAAAAAAAGTCCTCTAATCATCTGATAATCCTCATGACATACTTAAATATTATCCACGGACCTTCATATTTCATGTTTTATTGAACTAACCTGTAAGTGCTGTCTGTCCACGAACAGAAAGACAGACTGATTGGGGTTGTTCATAACCATCCCAGCCTTGTCCTTCCGACCAACAGCATGCAAAAACTGCTTTTCATAGTCTCCATGATGAAACTCGAATTTGGCCTGTAAACGTTCAAAAGCAAATGAAACTACATTCAATTTGTAAATGGATTTTAATGCATCATTCATGCCCATTGTGCAAATGGCGCATGTTGAATACTTGGTGTAAAGGGTCTGATCAAGTCCATAACCTCAAGTACGAGAAATAATAAGCAAGCACCACAATTTTGTTGGGCAGAATTTATGGCGCTTTTCCACTGCGTGGTACGACTCTGCTCGGTACGGCTCAGTACGACACGGCACGGCACGGTTCGGCTCGGCAGTTTGCGTTTCCACTGCAGTTCAGTACTGCTTTAGAGTGGGCAGGATTATTCACATGTCGTTATAGTTGCGCCGCCTCTACTGCCGCGAATGTGCTACGGAGTTTCTCCAAAATTGTGGCAATATTTGCAGTCTTTTTTGTATTGTTTTGCAGCAATATTCATTATGTTTTTAGTGTTAATGCCAGTATGAGTACAATTACCTGTAAATACTTTTGTGCATAATTACTGATATTGTGGTCCTGGTGCATCGTATGTAACCTGGGTAAAAGTAGAAAAAACTACCCTGGCACAAAATTGCAGCAGTACTGATATAAGCTCTAAGAATAAGTAATAAAAGCCAGTTGGAACTGCTCACAATCAAAGAGCCAATAACCTAAAGGCAATGCACAAAGTATTACATTTATGCCGCTTTTCCACTGCGTGGTACGACACGGCTCAGTATGGCTCGGGTTGCGTTTCCACTGCAGTTCAGTACTGCTTTAGAGTGGGCAGGATTATTCACATGTCGTTATAGTTGCGCCGCTTCTACTATCACGACTCCTAAAAAAACCTTTTTCATTCCGCGTCGCCCCATCAAGCTCTCACTGGATCCGCTCCTCTGCCATCAATGAGAGGAACGTCTGTTCTTTCGCAACAGACAACAAAACTTTTTGGCTGTTAAAAAAAGGTGCGCTTGTTCAAAACAGTTGCGTTCAATCCTTCGCTCATGCTGATTTAAATCTAGCGGTTCTTTTGTGTCGCAAGTTCAGTGACGCTGGTAGTGACGATTCTCTCCGGCCAATCCGTGATCAGCAGAGTTTACACGTCACGTTTTGGTAACGGTACGGTTCACTTGGAACCTCAACCGAGGTGATACTACAAAAAAAACCCAGTGGAAAACCCCCAAAAAGTGAACCATACCGAGCCGTACCATGCAGTGGAAAAGCGCCATTACATAGACATACCTGAACAGGCCTGAATGGTTCATGTTCAGCCCCTTTCCATCTGGAGAATAGGAGACAGACAATCTTCTCAATATCATTGCGGGGCCAAAGGATAAAGTCCATCTCCTGGGTACAACCGATCACATCCTGTACAGATTTAGAAACATCAGTGAGACAGAAATAGCAAGTGACCTCGAACAACATGATGACACATGGGTTTTCAGGCAAGACAGACCATTATGGTTGCAACACAGCTGACAGCAGCTTAATCTTCAACTGTCAATGTCGAAAGTCAACCATGCTGTGTGCCAACACTTACTCTACGCATCGACTGGTAACGAGGCGCGTGTAACTGCACCACATCTTTCTGGAGAAGCTCTAAAGAACTCTCTAAGGAGTAGCTCGAATCCTTCACGCCTTTAAGGATATTTTCCTCATAGTTGTTGGTCATCACAGGTACCACCTCAGCTACTTCGAAGAGTGCAGACTTCTTTTTCTGTAAACGTGGGACAAAGGCATATGAGAACAAACACAGACAAACAGTCAATTCCCAAATCGTTTCTCAGTTTCATACAGAATCATTCAACATACCTTTTCCTTAAATACAAAGGCAATGTAGATCTTGAAGTCGAACTGATCAGCCAGAGATTCTCGTTTCTTCCGTAGCTGGGCGCGGAGTCGGTTTCTTGTTTGATTCCGGCGAGAATTTGGGTCTCCCATTGTTACGGACAGTACTATTTTCCTTAAGCAGACTTTTTTTTTTCTCTCCTTCGCTTTTTAGTTCCTTGACTGTAGACTATGTGGTTTACAAACCCTTTTAAAAACTAAAGCTATAACCAAGCACTACCTGCAGTACATACTAATTTTAATGAAAGAACAAAGTGAGCTAAATCAAATCAAGTCATTTTTAATCAATATGGGTAGTGCACTTGGGCCAAGTAAATTTGCACTTGTCTAAGTTTTGATGCGTTACACCATTTTTAAAACAAACAAGCCAAGGCTACGTGTAAACTAAAAGAACAAACTCATATAACACGACCCGATCAATTAGTATTATTTTTATACGAGAAACTGCGTTGCATCACTGAATAAAGGACAGAAAACACAAATGTCTGCTACACTGAAAGCCCATTCCGACAATGTTGTGTTTGTGTCCTTGTGTGTGAAGGGAGAGATCCCTGTCTTTAGATAAATAAATCTGGTTTAAAGTTATCTAAAAAGCTGACCAAGAGATTTGACTTTGGAAAGACTCTTCCGAGATTGACTCTTGCTTGTATCCATGTCTTTGAATATACGGTCTCATAAAAGCACATCTGAATGACAGGTGAGAAAGACAACCATGGCAGAGAAATGCAGATGCCATGAGATCTTGGCACTGAGTAAGAACACAGAGTTTGCTGGACATCTTGTGATTTAAGGGCATAAAATGGGCCCACTAGCTCTCCTGCCACGGTTGAGTTTCATTGTGAGGCTTTTATTTTGTGGCTGGCTAGCAAACTAATGCTAGCTACGCTGAATACACACACACGCCACCGACTAATAACCTGGTTGAAGGGAGCTACATCTCTTTTTTTATCCAGTATGAAATCTACGAGAGCATTCAAAGCTAGTATTCATCAATAAACCGACTGTTACATTTTGTTTTTGCCTGTTTTCTGTTTGTTATCGCGATGCTAGCAGAGACTGGCTTCGATGCGTGGCTGGCTAACTATTGTTTCTCGTCATTTTCTCGAGTTGTCTTCCAAGCCCGTTGCGATCGGAGCAAGTACTGCGAAGCAATCCTAACACGTCTTAATACACCGAGCTCAGTGCAAAAACCCGCCCCGGATGGATCGATCGACGGCGGAGGTTTAGCTTAATGGTCTCCCGTTTGTTTTCGAGCTTTTCCACAGTCGTCACACACCCGTATAAGCCATGTCAAGATAAACTGACAAACCGACCGAAGTCCTCCGTTCTCTCAAGTAACAGACGGCGGGATCTGCAGCGCGGTGGACCCATAATGATGGAAGGAAAGGGTGAAATGTCTTTCGAGCGATTCTTTCGACTGTTTCGGCCTTTGATCTGCGTTCGTCTGGAAAATAACAAGCGCCCCTCGCTGAACAAACGACTCAAAATGGCCGCTGCGCGTCACGCAGCTGTGCACACGTGACAGAGGAGGAGCGCGCGCTGCTGTCAGCCGGGTTTATGAAGGCTAGTGTAGTGACACGGTTTGTTTAAACGTCTGGATCTTAGCTTTATGTCTCAAACTTTTATACAACACTCACTTATTTATAATACAAATAATTTCTGAAGTTTTATTCAGTTATATTGCGAAAAACGCCCTTATTTGTCTGTTACAAATCGGGTATTTTTTGCAATTAAATTGTACATTAATGTCTGTTGTAATAATCTACAGTTAACATCATATACACATAATACTCAATATACATAATATACACCATGTAGTTGTGCGTAGTACTTATTTTGAACACACAATATTTTGTAAAGTGGATAGAAATGATAATCTAGTGAAATTAAATATCCCTTGAATGATGGTGATGGACTGTTTGTTTATGTCAGTCTTTCTATCCGCGCGAATTTCGGAGTCACGTGACGGTACAAAGGCAGCACTTAAGCCAGTGGCGCGCTCTTCATACACGAGCGGTTGTGCTGCGCTGAGTCGTGTGTGCTTATCGTGCAATTTCCGTGAGTATCATCTTTTACTTGTGTGGTGGTTTGTTTTGGCTTTTGTTTAGTTGAGTTATTTGAGGTTTTCTATTGATTTTTAAGAAGTGGCAATGACTTTTTAAATGTACAGTCTGTACGAGTGTGGCTGTTTGTGGACACAAACAGAGGCCTACGCTGTGTTTGATCTCGGCTTGTGATTTCTAGTAATAAGTATGAAGTTTATGTCTTGACGTTATATAGATGGCGAATGGATTGTTAATTAATAGTTCTGTTTAAAACGTTTCTCTAAAACGTTTTGGTTGTCAATTAGTTATCACTTTACTTCATTTGTAAGACTTTAGTCATCTAACGTTCCTGTAAGAAGTTTCAGCTGCTATGTAATCTGCTGTAAATTAATCTCAAATGTTTTGGTAATCTATAGATGCAGTCACTTATCATTTTATTTTTAAGCTTATGGGAATGTAAACTACATGTTTCTTGTCATTTTTGTGCTGTGCTGAAAGCCATTAGCATAGTTTTGTGTTTCCATGTAGAGAGATATAAAACCGGTGCTAAATCTAATATTTGCTAATTTAGCATCATGAGAGTCTTAAAAGCATTTATTTGTAGGCTGGAAGTCTATAGGTGTAAGGGTAAAATCCCTGTGTAGTACAAACTAAAACAAGCGAAGTTAGGAAGTTTTAGCCTAGGAGACTATTAAAGGGTTAGTTAACCCAATAATGAAAATTTGATGTTTATCTGCTTACCCCCAGGGCATCCATGATGTTAGGTCATCCATGATGACTTCGTTTCTTCAGTAGAACACAAACTAAGATTTTTTTTAACTCAAACCGTTGCAGTCTGTCAGTCCTAAAATGTCAGTGGATGGGAATCACGGCTTTGAGAGTCATAAAACATACACAAACAAAAACAGATTTGCTGCCACCTGCTGGCGGTTTATTTCAAATTTCGGCTTTTTCTTTCTTTTTTCTTTTTTGGGGGGATTTTTTTCATGTTTTAAATCATTTCAAATACCAGTATTCAACGTTTTATGTTTAATATATCAAAACATTATTTATGCATTTGTAATTGCAGGTTAAATGCATTCAAGAAACGAAACAGTATTTATATTGTTTTTTTACCTCTGATTTTCACTGCAATGTCTGAACTGTCCTGAGCGCCGCCTTCAGCCTGCTCGTGAGGCGTCTTCTTGCTTTATGGTGGATCGCAGACTTATAAGTGCATTACCGCCACCTATGTTTTATGACTCTCAAAGCCGTGATTCCCATCCACTGACATAGGTCTGACAGACTGCAACGGTTTGAGTTAAAAATCCCCGTTTGTATTCTACTGAAGAAACAAAGTCACCTACATTGTGGATGCCCTGGGGGTAAGCAGATAAACATCAAATTTTCATTTTTGGGTGAACTATCCCCTTAAGTTTAAGAGGGTAACATTTTAGCTAGGATTTTCAGGGAAAATAAGTTCTCTCCAAGTCAAAATGACTGGAACTCAGCATGACAGTTAAACTGAAATTGACTGAATTCCTCACCTCTTTTCTAGGTGAAAACATGAGTTCCATCAGAAGACCCAAGCATGCAGAGAATCCCTCTGAAAACATCAAGGTATGTGAGAATGCTTTACCCTAGGCTCCATAGATGTAATTAAAGGATTAGTTCACTTCCAGAATAAAAAAAATCCTGATAATTTACTCACCCCCATGTCGTACAAGATGTTCATGTCTGTCTTCAGTCGCAAAGGAGGTTTTTGAGGATAACATTTTTTTTTTCTCCATATAATGGACTTCAATGGTGACCAATCGGCTGAAGGTCTAAATTGCAGTTTCAGTGCAGCTTCAAAGGGCTCTACACGATCCCAGCCAAGAAATAAGGGTCTTATCTAGCGAAACGATCAGTTATTTTCTAAAAAGAATAAAAATGTATTTACTTTTTAACCACAAATGCTCGTCCTGCACTAGCTCGACTTCACACATTACGTAGTCCCGTTGGAAAGGTCACGCGTGACGTAGGTGGAAGTACTGACCCAGTGTTTTCGAAGCGAACGTGCAAAGAAAGTCAAGCACCCTTTACAAAAAAAGGTAACACAATGTCGGCAGATTTTGAAGTTGGAGGAGAAAATGAGATGGAGTTTTTTTTGCCCTACGCTACCTTTTCCTACCCCACGTTTCCAACGTGATTGCGTTATGTGTGAATTTGTGAACGTGCGTTGTGGAGCTAGTGCAAGACATGCATTTGTGGTTAAAGTGCTTTTTTTTTATTTTTATTTTTTGATCAAGATTATGATCCCTAGTTATTCATATGCTTGGATTACTTAATGGTCTGGTCAAGTATTGTCAAAAAGGGAAAGAATGATGTCAACACATTGCAACATGTTTGTAACTTGATCAAATTTCCCATTTAGGACGAACTGAACTCAGACCTTGCTCTGGTTTTAAATTAATCATTGCCAATGTGTTGAAATCCAGTGACCGTGCATCTGTCTGCCACCGTATTGTTTAAGTGAAAACATTAACCAACTCCAAACTTGCAGTTGGTCATAAGGAGACTTCTGTGGTGAGTTCCCACGGTAATTACAGTTTAAAGAATGTTTCAGTAAGATAATAATGCAAGCGGTCCAATAGCTGCTCGTGGGAATTGGAGGTGTTTAGAGCATGCAGCTGATGAGTGGCCTGCCCCTTTCCCACGCTTGTTAGAACTGCCGATATGCAGAGTTACTCGGATACCTTGCTTGTTGCCATCTTGTACTGACAGCTTAACCGGGTGTAAGAGGAGAAGAATGACTGTTGAGGCAGGTGAATGGAGCCTGTTACTGTGTGCTTGTATAGAGTTGCTTAACTTTCGTTCTCTCTGAAATTAGCCTTTTTTTTTTTTGTGTGTATTACTGATGATACTTGAGGACCCGGAGATCAAGTCTTTATCTTTTTTTTTTTTTCTCAGAAATTCCTTTTAGCACCAACATCTGGATCAGGGAGGAGGATGCTGCAGGTCCTTCAGCCGTCTACTGTCAATAAGAACCTTGGTCGTATCTTTGAGGTACGTGGTGGTGGTTGCCATTTTGGATGTTATGAAGTTTAAACTCTTCAGTTGGAGGGATGGTGTTAAAGACTATCTCACCCTGTTTAGAATGGCAAAGCGGTTCCTAAAAGGAAGATGTGGAGCGCTGAGCAGGTTAAGGGCTCAAAGACGGTCAAAGCAGAGGTGGCTGTAAAATCCCTAATTCCAGAAAATGAAAACCAACCTGAGGGGGTCACACAAGAGGCCTATGAGCTCATGATCAAAGGTGAATGATCCCCTGTCCAGTTCAGAGAAGTTGATTGGATTATTTGCTTTCATGCCAAAGCCGTACCCGTTAATACTGCTGTTCAGTTGTTAATGTTCGCAAATTAATGGTGATGGATAGTTCCTGTAACTTAGGAGGGGGAAAAAAAAAAAAACATCCAATACTCTCTCTTTAGAAACTCCTGGGTCCTCCTACTGGAAGGAGGTGGCAGAAGAGAGGCGGAAAGCCCTGTTCAGTGTTCTCCAAGAGAATGAAAAGGTGAGTTAATCAATAGGTGATTTGCTAATTATTGGCCATCCTACTCCACTTCTCTCTATAGGGCTGATGAATCCGTTGTTCTGTGTTTATGATTTATAGGTGGCTTTTTATTTTTTCTGCTTTAAATATTATAGAAATAAGTGAGATTTGTAATATCTTAAGACTTCGGCACCACACCTTTAATCAGACAATTAAGGAAGAGCAGAGGGAGTCTGTGTTCACTTGTTTAACTTTTGTTTCAAAACTAGTTGCACAAAGACATTGAAGCCAAAGATGAACAGATTGCTCGGCTGAAGAGTGAAAATGAGGAGTTACAGGAGCTGGCACAGCATGTACAACACATGGCTGACATGATTGAAGTAAGAGCTCTATTCTGTATTAATGCACTTGTGAAGTCAGTGACATCAGTTTCGGAGTCCAAATGCTTTAGGATGCCAAAAGAAAAGAGACCGCTAATATACACGGTAGTACCGCTGGAAAAATCAGGATTCCATACAGAAACTCGGGGTATGTTTATATGAAAACCATGCATTAAAAATGGAAGGGGTGTTTTTTTTTTTTGTTTTTTCGCCTTTGAAAAATTGTGCACTGACAACGTTGTCAAATTGATCTCCATCCACATTGGTCTCTGGAAACTACTAAAAATGCCGTATTATGCATGCAAGGCCAATAATTGGTGGCGTCTTTGAAAAATTGTGCACTGACAACGTTGTCAAATTGATCTCCATCCACATTGGTCTCTGGAAACTACTAAAAATGCCGTATTATGCATGCAAGGCCAATAATTGGTGGCGTAAATTTATAAAGAAACCCTAGGCACCTGCACACATACCTATAGATTTAACACACAATGTACTTGACGTCCTTTTCAGAAATTTGTGTTTTTGTAGTTTACACAGAGACTACAGCAGTATTGTTGGCTGTAGCGATGCACCGATCAATCGGCTAGGGATCGGAATCGGCCGATTTTCCTCATGATCTGCACTGCTCGGTGACCGGCCGGTCAGTCTCACTACTTTCCGATTCCGAGCCGATCCGTTTTGTTACCAGCGACACAGGCAATCACATCAGCCGCGCATTCTCGCTCTTTTCTCTCCGACGACCCCTTCTCTCTCACACGCGTCTCATTTGCGTCGGTTAAATAGTGCTTGTGTTGCGCATTATTTTAGTCATTCCCGTAGGTTTCGCGTTTACACAAAGCGCGCGCACCACCACTGATATTAGTGGAGCGCACAAGCCGCACTCGGTCTCAAACAGCTTGTGAGCCACAAATACCAAAATGAGTGGCTAACTGCACTAAAACGGTCAAATACATAAATTGTAAAAATGCCCGTCTTGGCGAGTATCCAGTTAAACTCAGTCAGTTTTGGAACGTTAAATAGTTGAGAAAGAGAACGGGTCATGTTAATCGAAGAACAAAAATCACTTTCTGCTCTTGACTGAATACATTTTATAACTTTAATGGTAAGCATTAATCTTTTATTTTTACTATGAAGACTACAGAAATTAAAGTAATCAAATGTAAAATAACTCTGGATGTTTTACATTTGATTACTTTAATTTCTGTAGTATTTCTTACCTGAATAAACTTACTTAACCTGAAAAACTTAGTTTCATAGCTCTCTTTATTCTATTGCACTTATTTGTGCTGTTGTTTGCAATTTTATCACTGACCTTACGTGTGGGTTTTTAATTTTTTTTTTATATAAATGAAAATAAGACTTTGCGTTGAAGAAAAGTAGATTTTTGTTTGTATATGCTGTCAATTATAGTTATTTTGAAAGAGAATCTGCAAAAATCCATATCGGCAGATCACACTAAATCGGAATTGGCCAAGAAAATTGCAATCGGTGCATCTCTAGTTGGCTGTTGTGTGGCTGTTGAGATGGTATTCTTGCTTGGACCCGGGAAAGTGTATTTGCATCACGACAAGTGGATGGTGAGTGTAGGGGTGACCCCGAATAGTCGAAGATTTGATGCTTCGATGGGAGGAGCCTGATTCGACTACCAATCTCAGTCGAATATTCGCGGGGTGTTATGATCATGCCATTTTGGCTATATAGGGGTGCTCAAATGTCTGATTTCACATAGAACTACCGGTTTTCTCCCAGTAAGTTAATATACAGCCTATTAAAATAATGCTGTAAATAAGAATCTGCAAGTAAGAAGCTTCAAATAAATATTAACGTGCGTGAATAAATCCAACCACCCCTATAGATTTAAGTTTCACTTTCCATAATCTGTGACCGACAGTGGAGCATCTTGGTGGCGGGGATTTAATACTTTAACAAGACTCAATTTGACACAGACAGAGTGAAAGACTGGGTTTTTTTTCGATCAGGTAGGTACAAGTGATTTCAAAACATTTCAGCCGGTTTACATCTCTATCTCTATATCGTGTGTGTGTATATATTTATCTAGTGTAAGATGCAATTGGTTGAGTTATGCTGCAGTAAAGCGCTTCATTGTAGTACGGTGATTATCTCTTCAGTGCGAGCAGGACAAACAATGCAGAATATTAATAACTATGACTGGGATTGTCATATACATGACAATTATAATGAGAACACTATTATAATAAAATGCTGGGGGGGGGTTTATTTATTTTTTTTAAAAGAGGTTAATTGCTGTGTTTCTGCACGTTGTTGCGTGAAGAACGTGTCCACAAAAGGAGTTAATTCAGAGCCGCAGACATGTTCATGTGCATTCGGGGCATTTTGTGCAGATAGCCTGTAAGTCGTAATATTAACGTTATGTTGTATAAATAACGAAGCATATTCTATATGAGAAATAAGTAAAATCCCATTGATTTAAAAACCTGTTGCTTCATTCTACTGGTCATCTTCAGCGTGCGCAGCTCAAAACAGAAATGCAGAACATTTAATAAATACTTTCATATACACAACGTTATAATGAGAGCACTATTGTAAAAAAAAAAAATTGAATTCTTAGGTTTTTTTTTTTCTTAGAATTCTTAGAAAAAAATCTTTTAATCAAAACAAAACATTATTTACCCCATTTGTATCTGCGACGCGTCTTTTACACATTATCCCTGTGTGTTAACGTAATTTTGACTGTCGAATATCTGACTTGACTCTTGGTAATGTATTTTGCCCTGCCCCCAAAACATGATTCGACTGCGTAAAATAACGGCAAGATTAGAACATTCCAATTCTACTATGAAAATCCTTAGTCGGGGACACCCCTAAGTGAGTGTAACCACCATTAGGGTTGGACTAGAGATTAAAATACCTGCCTCAATTTCCCTAGTTATTTCTCTAACAGTCTTTCAATTCTCTCAGATTAACCGGTAAAAGTCCAGACAGTCTAGAGGAGCTGCGTGAGATGGCTTTTGATGCTGAAGATGATGAGGAGGAGGAAGAAGATGAGGAACAACATGGAGATGAGAGTGAAGCTGATGAGAGCCAGGACAGTGTTGAACTGAGCACAGAACAGTCACATGACCATGATGTGCCACAAAAGAATGACTCCACAGCAAATGAAAGCTGAAATTATGCATCCTGAAAAATGCTCAACTGAAAAGAACCATGACGGTCCAGTTGTTTGGTTTTTATTTGAATGTTTATCTTTGCCTTTGAGAACAGATATGCACCTTTTGTTTTAATACTTTTACTCTTGCTGTAAATTAGCTTTTATTTTCAGTACCTGTAGTTAATGTGCATGTTCACTGCTAGTGTCCATATGTAAAACTGAATGCATACGATGGAAATAAACTCATATTTTGTACACATGCTTTTTAATGGTTTACCTAACATGTGACCACTCTTGGTGTAAGAGCAGCCCTTCAGCTCATCTTCCTCATTCAAAGCATCTTTCTTCAAGCTCTGCTGGAATCCTAAAACCCTGAGAAGCTCCTGAGCGTAGTTTAAAGGCCATCCGTCCCAGTCCAGACTCGCCAGTTTCTCCAGACCTGACTGCAGGGCGTTGGAGTCCTTGAGGTGGCAGATGATAGGGATGTTGTGGCAACAGAGGATGTTGAGTAGATGGCAGCTCCAGCGCTGTGATGTAAAGGAGAGTCTACTGATTGGAGATACGAACTCCAGCAGGGTGTCAGGGAGCCCAAGTGCTTGTGCCTTGTCTTGGTTGGCGACGTGGAGGTAGCAGATTGCACTGAGGCCTTCTAGGACTCGAATGATGTGCTGATCCTTAAGGTCAGGTGTTTTCAGGAGCTCCACCATGCTTGCCATGTACTTGTCTGCTGCTTGAGCTGCATGTTCATAACCTCCTAAAAGAGTTTAAATAATTAGTAGGGTTTGTAACTGGTATAAGCCTTTGCTGTGTTTCACTTGACATATTGACTATTTTGGCTCTATTCCATCAATGATAATGGTTCCAAACAAGGTCACAGTATAACTATTGTGCTTCTGAGCATCACTGATGTTTCATTACAAAATCTGTTTTTGAATGACTGCTGTAAAGACATTCACTGCCTCCAAATATGCTTACTACAACCCTATGTGCCAGAGAAACAAGAGTAATGAGCTGGTGAAGTGGATTTACATATTCTCCTGGGACCCAGGCATAGACCTTTGTCCTCTGTAGACGACATTATATTTTAGTAAATTTCTCTTAGGCCCTACATGCCACACTTTTGTCCTGTAAAGAGCACATTCAGGGCTTTTTATAGATATCAAATGTTTGGCGTTTTGAGCACCTTCTTTAATCAAACCTTCTCCTTGATCTTTAAAAAGGACTGATACTGACAATTATAAAATTTAGCACTCTTAGGGAAATGTATTTTGTAATTTATTTAAATCTGACAAATTTTCAAATTGTCTTAAATGTTATGGGATTTCAAATCGGAATATGACTTTGTTATAAAGGTTTGCTATAACTTTGTACAAAGTTAGGCTGAAAATAGCCTGAAACCTAAAAACTGATGAATAAAAAATAAAACCTTGTTTTTGCATATACATGCATTTTCATGTCTATTTATCTTTTTAATACCTTAGTCCTGGTGTCCTCTACAAAAGACAGAGAAAGTAAAATATGAATAAAATATTTTTCTTTGTTTTTTAAAAAATGTTTTTTCTTCATTTGTTTACGCTAAACCAACGCAATGACAAAGAAATTCACATTAAATTTTTTTTGTTTCTCAGGAGGATATTGTAGAGTTAACGAAAGTTATCATGAGCATTGTAATGTTGGAGGCGGATATCAACAAAATCAGTAGACCGGGAAGTTTTTAAAATTAATGGTTCATTCATGTGTAACGTTACGTTGTGAAATACAAACGGAAGAAAGACAAGACAACCAGCACAGCGCTGAAAAGGGCGGAGCTACATAAGGTCTATAGTGTACAAAAAACAATTTAATTCATACTACCATTTCATTTTTCATTGACCGCAATTAAAATGAGGCTGTGAAGAATGGAAGTGCGTTCACTGAATTGTACGTTACGTTCGACGAAAGGTATTTCCGGAAAAAGAAAAAAAAACTCAGCTGTTTAGTGAAAAATGACATGACCTGAGACCATACACTGCGTGCCATTGTAAAGTGTGTAAGTCTCCCTCACAGCCTTGTTTTCAACCGCGTTAAATTCAGTATGTACTTCAGTACGTTTTCAAACCAAATTACCATCCAAAGCCGTTGGTATCTACACTACTAGACGCAGTATTCGCTGCTAACGCATTGTTTGACAGTGATTCAATGACTCGCTCATTAAGAGCTCCTGCTGGCGGCTTTAGTTACATGGTTACAAATATCACTTCATTCCGTAATTAAAAAGTGTGGGACGCCTGTAATATAGACATGTTTTTTCATCACCTGTGTAACTTAAGATCCCAATGTCCCGAGCGGCGTCCGCTCTTTCTGCTGTGGGCAGTTGCGTGTTCTGGAGCAGTCGACCAGCCTTGTAGATCTTATTCTTGTGGCTTCTGTCTGCTGCTTGCCCACGGGAGGAAAAATAAGGCTTGATGTAATTATCGTAAAATGAGGAGAGGAACCGAATCATGCGGCTGCCTGTCTTGAAACACTTTTCAAAAAGCTTTTTTTCAAAACAGAACGTTGTTTTCATTTCATTCAGCGTGACGTCATCCCGTTAGCACGTTTTTACAGAAGCAGAGGACATTTCCAACAAAACGGTTCTTTTATGGTGCCCACTGGCTTCAGAAACATTCTCCATGTTAAAGCTTGGTCAATTTCATGAAAATGAACTAAAACAGCACAATTACTGGACATTTTGTCATTATGTAATGTCGTTACGGACTGCATGAATAATTTTTGTTGCCATTATTCCCTGAAACTGGACTTACTTTCTAGTTCCCAGCATGCTATGCCATGGACTGGATCATGAAACTGTTTGAAATTATATTGTAATACATGTAATGAGCGACAGCTGTTCTAATGTCAGTGCAGTAACCAGTCTCTTTTGTTTCTTGATCCTCTCATATTGTACATGGTGTAAAAAATGTACCATGCACAGCCATTAAAAACAGCACAATGCCATATCTGATAATTATGTAAAAATAAATTTTATTGCCACTTTCAGCAGAGGAAATACAGTAAACTCAGAAAGAAAATGAACCCGTGAGGGAACATTAGCATTGTGACATCAAGTGAGATCTGCTTTCATTCAAACAGTAGCTAAAGCTATTGCAGCTAAAGCCCTCGACACATACAGTCACGCGCTCACAAAACCATAACAGCTTTCCTGTCATGAAGGACATTCATTTACATTTTAATGAGGTTTGAACAATAAATGCAGTTGAATTTCACCGAGCTTCTGTCTGAGATGAATAAAAGGCAATAAATGTTAATTCAACCTTTTCACTTGATATCTCTGTGCAAAGAATAACGTTCTTGTGTGAGTGGTCACCAATGCCCAGGGTCAAATACTGTAACGGTGGTCATTAGACGAACTCACAAAGCAAGAAATCACAGCCATTCATAGCTGTGACTGAATACAGAAAACAGCAAAAACAAAAGTATTATTTATGAATATCTGTTATAGATAATTCTGATAAATAGAAACCACAAAACGGCCTTAAATATATTGACTTCTGTATCATTATGGCTTTAAGAGTTTGTGGGGTAAATGCCAAATAACATGTTAAGAAACAATCTTACCAAAACATTTCAGTTGTGCTTGTGAGGCATATACTTCAGTAACCTTTCTGAAGTATATAAATTAATGTGCTCCTTTGATAGATTTAAGCCCCTGCTTCCGTACAATCTGCTTTCATTCAAACAGTAGCTACAGCTATTGCAGCTAAAGCCCTCGACACATACAGTCACGCGCTCACAAAACCATAACAACAGCTTTCCTGTCATGAAGGACATTCATTTACATTTTAATGAGGTTTGAACAATAAATGCAGTTGAATTTCACCGAGCTTCTGTCTGAGATGAATAAAAGGCAATAAATGTTAATTCAACCTTTTCACTTGATATCTCTGTGCAAAGAATAACGTTCTTGTGTGAGTGGTCACCAATGCCCAGGGTCAAATACTGTAACGGTGGTCATTAGACGAACTCACAAAGCAAGAAATCACAGCCATTCATAGCTGTGACTGAATACAGAAAACAGCAAAAACAAAAGTATTATTTATGAATATCTGTTATAGATAATTCTGATAAATAGAAACCACAAAACGGCCTTAAATATATTGACTTCTGTATCATTATGGCTTTAAGAGTTTGTGGGGTAAATGCCAAATAACATGTTAAGAAACAATCTTACCAAAACATTTCAGTTGTGCTTGTGAGGCATATACTTCAGTAACCTTTCTGTACTCGGTACATTCCTCGAAATGTGCTTCTTTTGATGGATTTAAGCCCCTGCTTTCGTACAATTCTCAATGTCATAGAAAATATTGCAAAAATAGGTCGGGCGATTTACAAAACTGCGTTTTAATTCCCGCCATAAGCGTAAATTCACATTTGAGAGCTTTAAAGATCAACACAGGGTGTGTAAACGTGTCAAAGCGAGGCAAGCGTTCGGTTAGCAGAGAGCGTTTTCTCTGGTCATGTGCATTAGCATACAGAAAAGGACGATTAGGAAAGGTTCCCTTGAGCACAAATACTCTATAACTCCATGAATACACTGTTAAAAGATGATACTGATAAAACATCTTTTTATATGTAAAATGCCAACTATATATATATAATTTCATAGTGAATAGCCCCTCAATATTACTAAATCCTGACTGTACCTAATCATATTGTGAACAGATATTGAGTACATCATTAAAACAATCTGTTATCAGTATGTAAAAAAAGAGGGTAAAATCAGAATCTTACCATTTATAGTGAAGAGAAATTAAAAAATAAATAAAATAAATTATATTACAGTCACATGACTCAGTAGTACAGTAACAACAGGCACAGAAGCGAGTTCAGATCACAGAGCAAATATACTTCCAGTCTTCATTTACGTAGAAACCAAAAATTCACAGTAATGCATCATGCTTCTCTGAGTGTAAAAGTGCATTTTCAGATACTCTGATGGGCTCCAAACAGCGCTTGTTGTAAGATCCCATGTGCTCAGGCGTTAGTACAGTGTTAATGCAATTGTTCACTACAGGCTCCGTCCATAGAAATATTTTCTCCTGACCACTGAAGGCAAGCGAGCTATGTATAAATCAGCAGTCCACCGTCCACGCCGGGTTTTCAGTAGTCCAGCTGGGTTCGAACAGCACACTTAAAATCTTTCCTTTCCCAGAGGTTACAGAAATCTCACTCTGTCCAGGTAAAAAAAAACTCAAGCGGGGAGCATTAAGACAGTCCCTTATAATCCCTGAAACGGAACGGCACATACAGAGGGGGAAAAAAATCCTAGGACAAAATTTAAATAGGATTTTCTGTTCTATTTACATGCTTCCAACAGTGCAACTGCAATCTGCAAATAACTAACTTTCAATATTAACACTCTTATTGTTCAATCAGCAACAATGACTCATGACCACTGTGACACGAGTAGTATAAATGCAAACATCCTACAGAAAAGGAGACTCTGTGCTGAAGGTCTCGAGATATGGGCCTAAATAGAAGGCCAAGCTTCACTTTTTCCCTTGTTAGCAGGTGATGTGTCTGAAGTGTGCAGGGTCACAGGGGAATAACGAGTCGTTTTTCTAAAATGAAGTGGTAACAGCGTTACCGCGGCGAGTCCCCAGCCGCAAGATCTCCCTCGGTACTGTGTCCAACTGCTCGTATGCCAGCCGCCCATCTTCACCTGAGAACAGAAACACAAACATGCTCTGTAAGACACAGGAAGGCTGGAGTTGTAGTATTTAGGTGATGTTTACAAGCATTGAGACCATGTATAATTTACACAGCATTCGAATTTTTAAGACCTGCACAAATAAAATTGATACTGTATGTCTACAGTGAACAAACCCGTAATCTCAAAATAAATATTATATCCCAGATTCTTTTACTTAGTTAAGTTTGTTGTCATTAAGAGTTGTTTAAGAAATTATTCAGCAAGAACGCATTAAATTGATCAAAAATGACCTGAAAAAGGAATCCTGTAATAAAAAAAATTAAAATATTAAGCAATACAAATATTAAACATTGATAATAATAGTTTGCTGATAAAATAATAGTGTGTTTAAAGAAAGGCAATTAACAGATTGTGCCAATATTAATAAAATCTATATACTGAATGTGGTAAATTTATGTTCTTAGTCTTTCCTTCCCTTTTAATTATAAAAAAGGCTGAAATACTCTGGGACGCTTATTTTGAAATGTCTTTGCTTTCCTATTCCCAGCTGCTCGTTCAAAAAGATGTAGATAAAATAAGCACTCTTAAATCTACATCATATTACAATATAAACACCAAAAAGTAAACATTGTCATAATTTATAATTCATTACATATAATAATAATCACATTAGGCTGTATTGTGATTCCTGTTTTTCCATCCCCAAATTTAAAATCTCTTAATGTTAATTATGACTTTTGTTACACCATTTAATATATCTAATAATTTTTATGACCTTGCATTTGAGAAAACATTATTTAAGACACTTTCTTTCTCTTCTGGAAAAACAGACCAAAAATATTGATAACTTCATCGTATACACATTTTTTGTCTAATACATTGCTGTCTAGAATGGGGTCCAAGTCAAATTTACACTAATTTGCAGAAAAAACATACACTATAAGCATCACTCAACTGACTAATAGTGCAGAGGATGTCATTCGTGTGACTGGATGTTTTACCGAAAGTGAGGAGGGTTTCTATGGCAATATGACGGAGATCTTCATCGGCTGAGTCACACAGTAACACCACAGCATCAATGCTCTCCACAGCCTGAAAATAATCCGAGACAGAGAGGCTTAATGAAAAGTCTTGTAAACAATCACAGATAAGATTTAATCTTCTGTTCAAGTGACGTGGGATCCAAACAATGAGTCAAACTGACCTGCAGGCAGCTCAGAGCGGCACATGCATCTCTTGATCTGTCTGCTTCTGATAAGACTTGTGTGTAACAATCAACAGCCTGTTGAAGACAAACACACATAGACAAGATTAACTACTTGCTCACCTCCTGGTGTCCTCAAACAACTGTACATCTATTTATGCACGTTGCTATGATTCAAATTTGCATTTAATTTATCAATATTCATATTTTATGGTTTCTTATTATTCTTGTTTCTTATTTCTTCATTTATATTATTTCTTATTTTATTACTTGTATCTGATTATATAGTTATAAGATATGCATCTAAGATGCATCATAGTGTTTCACTTTTTCCATCATAGTTTTTATGCATTTTTTTATTTGCATCTTAGAATTTCTATTCACCATTTTTATGCAATAATTGCACAAAATTGCATTAAAATACTACAGTGCCTTGCGAAAGTATTCATACCCCATTCATTTTTTCACATTTTGTTATGTTGCTGCCTTAT